TGTACATCACCTGAACTTTGTTCTACCTCATTTCCCTGGTAAGTTTCTCTGTTCGCTCTACTGACCTACTGAATCTCAATCCCTCAGGCTCTCTGTGCTAATGACACTAGACTAGAAGAAAAGAGTAGTCCATATCTCCCCATTCCCAACTCCATCTCTGCCCCTCAAAAGAGGACTTAATGTCCCTTCCCAGGTAGACATGTAGAGACAATGAGCCTGATTTGTCATCGAATCCAGAAGAACATTGCCTTCAGCCAAGCCAAGAAAGAAAGAGAAATTATTTCAAGGCAAGACTGTAAGAGGGGTCATTTAGAGTCACTCCTAAAGCTGGCCCCGACTAGAGATCTGTCTCTGAACTTCATGAAGTTTCTTTAGCCAGGTAACTTAAATGCTACAGCATTCACCTTGTGTATCTGGGTGTGGTGTTTGGGAAATACCCACCACAATATTTTTGCCCTTAATTTACTCTCTATCTACCCAAATTATTTGTGCACATAGTTTCTCTGGCTCCCACCCCCCCACACACACACATCAACCCTGCTGATTCAATTCAGAGGACAAAAGAGGGTATATACAAGAGACATTGAAAGGTGAAATCAGTAGTCCTTGCCAACAGCTTAGATATGGGGAGTGAGAGACAGTGAGGAACTGAGGATGACACTTAGGTTGTGAGCCTGGGGAACTGAGAAGATGGTGTTGCATTCAACAGTAAGAGTGAAGTTTGGATGTTTGGAGGGTTTGGGGTTAAAGATAATGAGTTCAGTTTCGAACATGCTGAATTTAAGATGTTTACTGTTTAGTTTGAGATGTCTGAAAGGCAGTTGGAGATTTGAGATTGGAAGTAAGCAGAGAGGTGAGGGTAAAATGGGTAGATTTAAGAATCATCAGGGGGCAGCTAGGTGGCACAGTGGATAGAGCACTGGCCCTGGAGTCAGGAAGACCTGAATTCAAATCCAGCCTCAGACACATAATACTTCCTAGCTGTGTGACTGTGGGCAAGTCACTTAACCCCAATTGCCTCACTGAAAAAAAAAAAAAGAATCATCAGCATAGAGATTATAATTAAAATCACGGGAGCTGATGAGATCACCAAGTGAAGAAGTATTAAAGGAGAAGAGAAGAGGATCCAGGGACAGAACCCTTTGGTTAGAGGTAGATGAGGATCCAGCAAAGAAGATTGAAAAGGAATGGTCTGATGTATAGGATAAGAATCAGGAGATAGAAGTGTCCTAAAAATCTAGAGAAAAGAGAATAACAAGGTAAAGAATGATCAACAGTGTCAAAGGCTGCAGTAAGGTCAGGGAGACAAAGTCATTGAATTTGGCAACTAAGAGATCATCAGTAACTTTGGAGAGAGCAATTTCAGTGGAATGATGAGGTTGGAAGCCATATTGTAAGAGGTCAAGAAACGAATAAGAGGAGAGGAAGTGGAGGCACCTATTTTAGACAGTCTTTTCAAGGAATTTTGCCACAAAAGGCAGAAGAGATATAGGATGAGAGTTAGTGAAAACGGAAGATCAAGTGCAGTCTCCTTGAGGATGGGGAAAATGTGAGCATGTTTTTAGGCAGCAGGGAAGCAGTCTAATGAAGGAATTTAGTAAGGACAAATATGAAGTTCTATACTTGGGTTAAAACAGCATAAGCACAGAATGGAAGAGACTCAGTTAAACAAGAGTTCACATGAAAAAGATCCGATTTTAATAAACTACAAGTTCAAAATAAGGTAACAGCATGACATGGCCCTTGGCCAATCCTTTCCCCTTTCTTGGTCTCCCTTCTCGAGGCTTCATCTCTCTGCACCTCACCAACAAAAAATGAGGTCCACCCAAGATCTAATGCTATGGTCCTATGTCAGCCAAAAAACCCTAGTGTGATTCTGGTCTACACTAAGAGGATGCCTAGGATGAGAGAGCTAAATAGTCCTTCTGTACTCCACTCCTTCATAGCACAAGTAAAGTACTGTATGAATCTCTAGATTTTACATTGTAAGGAAGACACTGGCACTTTCATACACAAAGAGCAGGGCTTCAATGTTGAGGGGCCACGAGAACATTCCACACAAAGATTAATTGAAGGAACTATGCAGGTTTAGCCTAGAAAAAAAGGAGACTTGGGGAAGGTGGGAAAACATGATAACCATCTTCAGCTACCTAAAGAGCTATCATGCATAAGGACTGAGGTTATTGTGATTATCCTAGAGAATGTAACTAGGCTAAATGAGTAGAAGTTATGGAGAGGCAGATTTTAACTCAATGTATGGGAAAAGGTACAAGTCATTATAGCTGTCAGACTCAGGAGACAAAGGGTTCTCTCTAGGTAGAATTTTTCACATGGAATCTAGATGAACACTTGTCAGGGATGTTATAGAGGAATTATTAGTCAGATATGAGTTTGTTCGGGTTTGGGGTTTTTTGTTTTTTTTTTTTGGCTAGGCAATAGGGTTAAGTGACTTGCCCAGAGTCACCCAGCTAATAAGTGTTAAGTGTCTGAGGCTGGATTTGAAACTCAGGTCCTCCAGACTCCAAGGCCAGAGCTCTATTCATGCACCACCTAACTGCCCCAGATATGAGTTTTTAATATGGCCTGTGAGGTTCCTTCTATCTCTGAAATTCTCTGATCCTTAAGGTTGGAGTCAAAGAGAAGAATAGATATTCCAGATTCATTTTACCCTTCGGTTCTTAAAAAAAAAAAAAAAAAGAAAAGAAACCCAAACCAGAATTAATTTGAGAACCCACTGTGAGAGGAACAGGGGAAAGACTCTATAAGGAACCCTAAACAATAGAGTTTGGAGAAAATGATGGTCAACATTGTGCCTTCTGGATCACTAATTCAGGAAATGTGTGTATCTTTGTAGGCTCCGTGCTATCTCATGAATCTAGTCTCATCACTCAGCTGTGTATTATTCAAAAGCACTCTTGAACAAAGACTCAAAAGAAGGATACTGGGGAGTTGGGTGGGGCAAAAGAGGGATGTCTGTGCCTCCAAAGTAATTGCATGACATCTCCCACAAATGCAGATGCCAAGGGCACAGAAAACAAGCAAATCATTAGGGTCTATGAAGTCACAGAATTCCATCCCCACTCCTCATCCCTATGGGAGCCAATTATACCAGGAAGGATGAGCTCACCAACTTTCGCCAATCTATGTTTCTAAGACTGTGACCCATTTCGATCTATGTGGAGCAGCAGTGGCAAAAGCATGAGGCTGGCAGCAGAGAAGAAGACAAATTCATGAAGTCTTTGTGAATGAATGGAAGCCATTTGGCCTGGCCCATGACCTCCCCAAAAGGCTGAGAACAGAGCTCACCCTCAAGTGAAAAGTTCCAGCAGAAGGGCAAGAGGAAGGAGCAGATTCCTAGAACTCTAGTCACAGCTGGACAGCCCCCTGGGAAGCTGGGTAACACCACAGATTGTATTATTCTTGAATATGCCCTCTTAAAGGAAGACTCTCTCCATCAGGACTAGCTCTCAGAAAAATTGCAGAAAGGACAGAGTTTACCTTCAGTAAGTCCCTCCACTCCCCTTTCTAAATTCTTTTCTTCCTGGGAATCAGGAGGCCTGCACTGACCCAACTCTGGACCTCTTTTTACTTCTACCCAAACTTACTAATCCTGTCTGGAAAGCTGCTGTACTAGAACTAATAGGAGAAACTACTCCAGACTAAAGAGTTGATATTGACTTTGTTTATTCATTCAACATTTACTAAGGGCCTCCTGACCACAGTGTTCTTGTCCTTAATATGACTATGTTTTACCCTTCCCAGATACCACTTTTATCTTAATAACATTTTCAGTACTCTAAGGAATAAGCAGTGGGGGAGTTTCAGGCTGTAAGTAGCTAAGGCAGCTAAGGGTTCTCCTGATGACCCCTAAATCACAACATATAGACAGCTCTACCCAGATCTCCATACAGCTTGAGCTCCAGTCACGGGCAAAGCCATACGGCATATTAGAAGCAGGAGCATATAGCGGGAAGAGTGCTGCCTTAGGAGCTGCAGGGCTTGGGTTCAAACCTGACTCCACCACTTACAACCTGTGTGACTTGGGAGAAATTACTTCACATCTGTGCCATAATTCTCTATAAAAAATGAGGGTATTACGTGAGATAGCCCCTAAGGTTCCTTCTCACTCTAAATCTACGATTTGGAGTCAGAAAACACAGGTCTGAATCTTGACTCTGACCCTCATTAGCTGTGGGGCATTCAATCAACAAGCATTTATTGAGCACCTACTATTTACCCTGCACTGTGCTAGGTGCTGGGGATACAAATACAAAGATGAAATAGCCCCTGCCCTCAAGGACATGTGTGTGTGTGTGTGTATGTATATGTATGTGTGTGTATGTGTGTGTATATTCACATGCATATACATACATGTAATATATAACATACACATACGCATGAGTACAGGCAGATCACATGCAAAATAAATCAACAGTGGCGAGGGAAAGAGGGCACCAACAGGTAGGAAGGAAGGAACCAGGAATTCTAAGAGGCAGAGGTGAGGAAGTAGTTAATTCCAGAATGCAATAGGATTCCAGAATGCTCGAGCAGAGGGAGGTATGGAGGTAAAAACCGGAGCATCATGTGTGAGGAACAGGATGGCAGACAGTCTGGCTGGAGCATAGAGTGTGGGAAGGGCAATGTGCACATGTAGAATAGAAGGTAGGAAGAGGCCAAGTTATGAAGGGCTTGAAATATCAAACAGAGGTATTTGCCTTTGTCTCTAGAGACAACAGGAAGGCACTGGAGTTTACTGAATAGGGGAATGATATGGTCAGAGGACACTTTGGCAGTTGCTGATTGCATGGGGAATGAATTGGAGGGGAGAGAGATTTGAGGCAAATAGGAAAATATTACAATAGAGGACAGATGATGAAGATCTGAACCAAGGTGATGGCCATTTGATGAGTGCGAAGGTGTCTGACGTGAGACATGTTGTGGAGGAAGAATGAATAGATTTGGAAACTTATTAGATCTGTAGGGTGAGAGAAAGTACTCACCTCCCCTTTCAATGGTGTGACCTGACGATTTCCACTTGGTGTATACTGGGTTTCTGTGAAGCCAGGAGCAAAGAGGTACCTGCACACGGCAAAAGTAGAACCAGGCCTTGTTAGGACTAGGAATACCATTTTCCCAGCAAAATCATTTACTGATCTTGAAACACTTTCAGAGAATACTCAGAGTAGGTTCCCCTCTGGAAAACACCCTGGGTGTTCAAAATTACAGGAGAAAGTATTATGTTATTAGGCATTTTTCATTTATGCATTTAATCAGCAAGCATCCATTAAGCAATGTCTATAAGCAATGTGCTATGTTAGCTCCCAGGGACAAAAAGAGATAGACAACACAGGTCAGCTCCAAAGGAATTTACAACATAATCAGAAAAAGGAAAAGAGGAAGTCAGGTGACACAGTGGATAGAGCCCTGGGCCTGAAGTCAGGAAGACCTGAGTTCAAATGTGACTTCAGACATTGACTAGCTGTGTGACCTTGGGAAAGTCACTTTACCTGTTTGCCTCAGTTTCCTCATCTGTAAAATGGGGGTGAGGATAATAATAGCACCTAACCTCACAGGGTTGTTGTGAGGATCAAATGAGATCATATTTGTAAAGTGCTTAGCACAGTACCCGACGTATAGCAGGCACTATATAAATGCTTATTCCCTTTTCCTTCTTTCATAGTAGCCAAATAACTCCGATACAAGAGAAAGTGAGCTAAGAAAAACCTGAGAGCATCGCCACATAGGAAACAGGAAATGTCTGTTAAATGGAACTAAATTCTCGTATCAGCTTTTCAACAGTGGGAGAAATAAACCAAAACCTAAAAAGAACATGATGGGGCTTATGTCATATCAGGATAGTTCTAAGATTTCATTTCAAAAGGGTTTGGAAAGGAGTGGCATCATCTCTTTAAGGATACTTCTAAAGGGCTTGAAAAGCACAAGTTGCCCTCTCTGGACTTTTCTGGCTGAAAAATGCCCTTGGACTAGACCCAAATAGATCTCAGCTCCCTTCAAGGATCCTGTCAGACACAGTGGGCCTGGAAAACGAGGAGCAAAACAGAGGAGTGTTGGCTGTTAACTCTACACTCCCAGGGACGGCTGCTGTGTGATGTAGCTGAGGCTCCCCAAAGCCAGGAGGAGACATGCAGAAAACAGAGTAATTTGTACTTTCTATGAAAGTCAAAGAAAAAAGAGAGAGGGACAAAACCATTAAGGGAGAAGGAACAAGATTTCCTTTTGCTTGGGAAGTAGATTAAATAGAGGAAGAAATGAATGACACAGTCAGAAACAATCAACCAAGGTAAGGGCTTAACTGCACATCAAAGAAGGCTACCCCAGATGCAGTGTGGCATATGGGAAAACACAGGGAATTGGGAATCAGAGGATCTGGACTAGAATCCAAGCTGTGCTAGTTACCGTCAGTGTGACGGGCATTAAAAATAATAGCTAACACATATGTTGCACTTTAAAGTTGGCAAAGTTATTTGCATACAGTATCTCACACTCTGAAGTAGGTGTTATTATTATCGTCATTTTACAGATGAGGAAATTGATGCTCAAAAAGGTAGCAGGTGTCTGAAGCAGGATTTCAACTCAAGTCTTCCTGACTTCATGTCTAGCACTCCATCCAATATGCCACCCACTTATTTCAGTAGTCCTGAGTCATTGAATTCAATTCAATAAACATTTAAGTGCCTACCATGTGCCTCTCTGGGCCTCATTTTCCACACCAGAAAAGTGTAGGAAGTTAGACTACATGTTCCCTACAGTCCTTTTCAGCTCTAATTCCTATTATCCTACCCATTCCCATACTAGATGGTATTTAAACTTTCTAACCTAATGTGAAAGTAGATTCTCCCACGTCTAGGTTAACCTTCATGAGCTCCTCTAGGTAAACTCTCTCTTGGGCCATGAAGATAACAAGAGTTTTACCCATCAAAGATGCTCTCTCCCTTTACTCCATTCACATTTGACTACCTGAGTATTCTAGCATGGAGCTGGAATTGAATGTGCATACAAAAGGATCACATGCCCATCTCTCAGTTCATTTTGGGGCTTTTTCTTCCTGGCACCTGGGGAGGCAAGAACTGCTGTGAGCTGCTGGGTTTGGAGAGAGACAGTGTTACCCCATCTCCCACCCAGCCACCATGTGTCTGTGAACACAAGAGCATCTGTTTCCTTAGGGTTTATTTTTTCTTGATCTTAGGTATTCTGAAATGGGAGTGTCCAGGTGAAAGGTGAGACCAGGAGATCCATACAGGGGTGAGGAACCTGCAGCCTTCCTTCTAGGTCCTTGGGTGCAACCTCCTGACTGAGTCCAAGTTATACAGAACAAATTCTTTTATTAAGGGGATGTGTTCTGTGAAGTTTGGATTCAGCCAAAAGGACCTAGAGGGTCACATGTGGCCTCCAGGCCACAGGTTCCGCACTCCTGCTAAGACATCAGAGGTCCAACTAGTAACCAGAGCTGTTGGCAGCAGCAGCAGCAGGAACCAGGTCTGCAGCCAAGCAACGGTCTTGACCTTGCCCAGCTGTGGACTGACTCATCAGCTGAGACACTGCAAAGAGCCAACCCAGCTGAGCAAGGGGAGCAAGTTGTCCAGTGCTGAACTCGCCTCAAAGCAAACTCGATGGTAACTGGAAAAAGGTGCCCCTTGTCCCAAGTGTTCTCCACATGGGTGCCTCCTTATCTTTGAGCCCACTCTCCCCAGCTACTGTACATGTGCAGAGGGGAGAGGGAGCCTCTGGTTTGGAAAGCGTTTTGTGACTTCTATCCTCGCTAAGTGTTCTCGGTGAAGATCCTTTCTGTAAAAGCTAACTGTTGTCAGCCGGTTGATCAATACTGTGGAGCACACATTATCAGGGCTTGCGGATGAGAGTACAAGAAAACCCTGAGAACAGCAGTCATTGCCTTCTAGCCAGTTAGTGCAGTGGGATCTGAAAAAATGAGTGAGCCCAGAAAGGCTGCTATACATAAATGAGGCCTTTCCTCACCCCTCCAGTTAACCGTGCCCTCCTCGTCAAAAATGTATTTTATATCTCTTTTATATATGCTGATTTGTATGTATGTTTTGTCCCAGAGAAGTTCCTTGATGGTAGGGACTTTGCATCCCTAGTTCTTGGCAAAGTATGCAGCACATAGTAGGCACTTAAAACTGCTTGTGGATTGTTTGTCACTAGATAACTTCCTAACATGGGAGAGAAAAGGAAATACAATACAGAGAGCACTTCCAACTCAGAATCTAAAATGCCCCCTTAGTGCAAAAGCACACAAAAATGACCGATATAGCTAGGATATATTCTCACCAACCCTACACTACAGTTAGGCCATAAAAGGAGGGCCAGGGCTTCTCCTTTGGGGAGGCTGGATAAGAAGCTGGATGTTAGACCCTGCTGGGGAACCTCAGGATTCCACAGCAGTGACCAGAGCTTCAGAAGAGACCATATTTCCAAGCCAAGATTCCTGGTCTCCCACCCCCACCCCACTCCCTTCTTTATGGCCAGATGGAACAAGATGCTTAAGAATGGTCTCTCTTGTCACATTTCAACCCCCACCCCCTTCTGCTTCCAGACTTTGGCCAGCAAATAAGAGGCAGCAGGGAGATTAAACAGAAAGCAAAACACCAGAACTGTGTGTGTGCAGAAGCTCTTGATTCAATGGAAAGTGTTCTTGCCATGTCAGAATCTCTCTAACCCCCCCCAAGTCCTTGCAGGTGACTCCCCATATTTACGTATGCAGCCCTCGTCTCTCTGCTAAACTCCTGTACCATATCGCTAACTGCCTGCTCATCGTCTCCACCTGTATGAACCATCCGCAAACTCAACATGTCCAAAGACGAACTCATTCTCCTTTCCCCCAAATCCACACCTCCTTCTTCCTTCCATGGTTCTTTGAAGAGCCCACCATTCTTCTAGTCGCTTCAGAGTCGGACTCAACTCTCCCTTGTTTCTGTACCCATCATATCCAGGAAGCTCCCGAGTCTTGTCAATTCTTCCTCTACAGCATTTTATATGGTACCTGACACATGCTAAGTGCTTAATAAATGCTTTTCACTCATTTATTCTTTCAGAACATCTCCACCATCTGCCCCCTCTTCTCCACCCACGTAGTCACAGTTACGGTCATACTTCAGGCTATTATTGTCTCTTGAATGGACTACTGCAATAGCCTCCTAACTGGCCTGTTTGCCTCCAGTTTCTCTCTCTCTAATCTTCCTGTCACAAAACACCAAACAGATTTTCCTAAATCAGAGATCTGACCCTATCACTGTCCTGCTGAAGAAGCTTCAAGGGTTCCTTATTATGACCTCTAGGATAAAATAAAAATAATTCTGTTTGGCATTTAAAGCCCTCCACAATCTAGCTCCAACTTCTCCTTCCAGATTTTCTCCTATCTCTTCCCCTTCACACATTTATTAAAGTGCCTACTATCAGGCACTGTGCTAAACATTGAGGATACAAAAAAGAGGGGAAAAGACAGTTCCTGCCCTCAAGGTGCTTACAATCTAACAAGAGAGACATATAAACAAATACATACAAAGCAAGCTATATATAGGATAAATAGGAAATAATTAACAGGAAAAAGGCACTAAATGTAAGAGGGGTTAGAAGGTTTCTTGTAAAAGATGGAAGCGCAGGTGGTCAATAGTCTGAGCATAGGAGGGAGAGGCAAAGAGGACAGGCAGAGAAAATGCCTAGAGCTGAAATATGGCATCTTGTTCCTGGAACAGCCAGGAGGCCAGTGTCACTGGATAGAAGAGTGTGTTGGGGAGTAAGGTATAAAAAGACTGGAAAGGTAGGAAGAGGCTAGTTTATGAGGAGCTTTGAATGCCAAACAGAGCATTTTGTGTTTGATCCTAGAGGTGACAGGGAGTAGGGAGAGTGACATGGCAGGACCCGCACGTCAGGAAAATCACTTTAGTGACTGAATGGAGGGTGAATTAGAGTGGGGAGAGGCTTGGGGCAGGCAGAGCCACCAGCAACTACTGTAATAGTCCAGGCATGAGGTAATAAGGGTCTGGACCAGTGGTGGCATGTCAGAGGAGAGAAGGGGAGATGGTATTGGAGAGATGTTGCAA